TTAAAAACGTATTTAGTTATCTTTGGCACTGAACTATAAAGCGTGTCAGGAATTAGATGTAGTGATTTCGTAACAATTTGTTTGTCGAGATATTGATGCGAGCCTTGAGCCTGTCTTGGAGCAAGCTTGCTTACGTATGGCTCCAGACTTGACAAGGAGAGTTGAAGATCTACTCTTGTTGCGACGCTCAATCTGTTTATAATTTTGGTTAGAGAAATCACTTTGCTGAATCCACATTGAGCCAGGTATGTGGAAGAGAAAATATTCTCCACAGTCAGAGATGTCGGTTAGGGGATCAGCCTTTAACCTAAAAGTCCCTTTTACATTGCGGGAATTCGGACCCTGCTAGTAAGTCCGTTTGTAGCTCCTTATGACATTACTGGATTTTATCTCTATCATCGCAGGGCTGTACATCAAATGGACCTGGAATGCAAATCGGGATTTATGTGTCAATCACGTCATGAAACGTGTCTTTCTTTAGCTCCTCCTTGACCATAGCGAGAATTTGGAACTGTGAGAATTCCTGACGTCCGATGTTTTGAACATATCGTCCCAGGTTTTTAAGAACAATGAGAACGGATGCTTTGCTCGAGATGAGCTTACTCAACGCTGGAAGAGTTTATTTATTCTGTTGAGTTTTCCAAAAACAGCATCCAGTTTAAATACGTCTGACTTAGAGGTACATAGTTTTCTTTCATGATCAGTTCCGAAAAGAAATGTGCTGATGGTATACCAGAGTGCAACAGAACGGCGAAAACAGTTGCCCTTAGAGAGCCATCTAACTCCTGTATGCAGCAGTAGGACTTGGAAATCTTCCACTGCTCTCCAAAGAGCTGCTGAAAATGACAATCTTGAAGAGAGTGTGATTTAGTATTGTTGACTTCTACAGTGAATCATTTAAGCGCCCTCCCAATATCTTAGCTCTCGGTGAATCACAAAGTGAATTGCATAAACAGAAGGCTAAACACTTTTTAGATGGGCCATAAATCCTTTACATCTTCCGACCATTGCGGCAGCACCACCAGCATGCATCTATGTTCTGCGTTGGAATGGAGTTTTCAGTCAGATAGCTATCAACTACCTAAAAGATAGACTGACCAATTGCATGAGTTTTAACTCTCCTGACAAACAGCATCTCTTCCACTAATTAATTATCAATGAAGAACCGGACATACGTCACGAGAAGAGCGCGGTTACTAGATAAAGTAGATTTATCTGGATGTAACGAAAACTTCCTGGATTGTAGTAAAGTTACCATGGTAGTTCCTATGTCCTGAGCCATCTCATCTATTCACTTAGATACAGTCGGATTGCTGAGCGGAACGACTCGAACTACTTCTTATGGATTCATAGTAATCAGGTCAGACAGTATTATAGATACTGAAGGTAAGATAATAAGTTCCCCAACATTATGTGGATTGCAAATTTGGCAATCAACTTGCTGATTTTACAAGACAAGGTAAGTCCATTCTCCATTTTTGCCCTGTCAGAAACCTTTTCCTGTATGGCTTACCGACGATACATAAGCCCGGTGTACCCATTCCACCTATCGTAGATGGCATAAGTTCCCCGACGCATGAACTAGCTAGATATTTGGCTAGCATACTGTGACCCTTAACATGGCAAATGAATACATTCGTAAAGAACTCTGATGAGTTCGCGCGAAAGGTGTCAGGTCATGAGATTGAGTCGGATGAAATGATGGTCAGTTTCGACGTTAGGTCGTGTAAATATGAGACGTTTTGAGGGTAGTGAAACAGTCTAAGTGGGGACAGTAACCTGGGAGAGAGGACAAAGCCTACGGTAGATCAAATAACGGAAGGAATGACACTGTGCCTTCACATGTCTTAGTTCAGGTTCCAATTTAGATTATACACTCAGAAACAGTGACTTGCCATGGGATCGCCAATTTGTACATGGAAGACTTTGAAAGGAGGGCGCTGACTGATTCGTGTAGCTCACCGAAAATTTAGTGGCGCTACGTGGATGACAAATTTGTCATCATAAAATGGGAGAAGAAAGACGAGTTTCTAAACCAATTGAACACTATGGAATTGAAATCTTGCAGTGGCACATTGCCATTCCTTGACTGTTTAGTTCACGGAAATGGGGGTTGTCTAAAAACAACCACGGACACATGTGATGTACTCCACTATAGTTCAAGTCACCCAAAGCATGTGTATACGGGAATCACATCTCTGTTTCATAGAGCCCAGACCCTGTGCACAGAGAAAGAACATAGGAAGGATGCCCAGAAAGAAACAATGAGCCAGTAGCTTGGTAGTGCATACCCGAGGCGGTTAGTGAAACGCCAGTTGCGGCGCCTTTTAAATCCTTACCCACGGCGTACTACGGAGTGCGTCACGATGGCAGGTGTTCCTTATGAAGATGGAACTTCGGAGGGTCCTAAATAAAGAAAACAAGTGAAAACTTCCAGAAAGACCCAACGCTCCGCTCTGTACTAGTGCGCACGAAAGATCCACTTCCGCAGATAGGACAACCAATTGCGTCTACAAAATTAGTTGCAAAGACTGCGCACACGTGTACATGGACCAAACCGCGAGAGAGCTAGACACGAAGATGGCAGCACACAGGTGACGCATAACACGTCCATCGAGAAACGCGCTTAAATATAGGGATCTACTTGGGGAATCGGTAGTAGTGATACACGCGATAGATACAGGCCATGAGATCCACTTGGATAATGTCGAAAGTGTTAAAAAGAGGCTCTAAAGAGGCCCTAAAGACGGTTAAGATTAGCGAGGTAAGCAACTGCGTAAACCGAATGGACGGGGCAGAGTTCTGGAACGTTAGGCGAGCTGTATTAAGGCGACAAGTCTGAGGAACGCTGGCGGACGCATCCAGGGTAGAGAATGAACACCACATGGTCCTCACACCCATCGTTAACATGATTTACTTGTGAGGCTATAAGGCGGACCACTTGTAACCGTTCCATGCACTATTTGGAGTGATGCATTGACCTGTAACGCGATTGCTCTTCTGCCTACATCCCATTCGTCGCGATTGTCATCCCAGTTCGCTATAAGTGCTATACCAATCCTCCACTGGCTTACTCGGGCTGACGAAGCTTTTGTGTCAAAAGCGAAAGGTTACCCACAAACTATACCAACCGGTTGTTTCTAAATCTTTCTGAAAGCTGGTCTTTCTTCGAAGCTATAACGCAGCTTTCCGAAAGAAACCCACAGACTAACCGCTTTCTACCTTATGAACACTTTACGGATAATTTCCCGTTTACATGGTCCCCTACTTTCAAGTGAAAGTGTTCTAACAAATTAAACACATAGGTAGAGTGGGGTTTTGAGGCGATGCAATAAATCCGAATGACAGATATTCTAAGGGGACACTGTCGAACTTGATTCCCTGCCAAGGAGATCATTTCTGCAATATGTCATTGTAAATAGTTATTATGTAATATATCGAGTGCTTTTGCTTTAAGATTCTTGCAGTTAGATCATAGGCGACAAATAACATCATTCGACAAGGCGAACTACGCATGTGGTTTGAATGGCTAGTGGCACTAAATTTCTTCTTGATTGACTGTGAGATTGCAAGACACTTGGTAAGTATACTTGTAACATCGGCTGGTGGCTAAAATGTTAAAATTTCAAGTGTAGTAAAACTGTTAGAATTAAGACAAAGGTGATTTCTGAGGATAGCTTTGAAACTACCCTGATTAGCTAAAATGATTGAAGAAAACTTTTTGATCAAAAGCCATCAAAAGAACGAAGTGGAACTCCGAAAACGATAATGCACTGCAGAAAAGTTGTAGCAAACATTGTCAATAGGTAAAAGAATAGATAGTTCTAAAACTGGCATGGGAGAGTCAACAACGGAATTATTACTGTACATCGGCTATTACCAAACATGGCGCCAAATGCGTGCTTACAAGGCATTTGCATATTGTATGTAGTTGAAAAAGTATCCTCATGTACACAGTGTTATATATACTTACCAAAAATGCCGGATATCCATACGGATTTTAAAACTTCAGCTGGACTGAATGTTAAGAAAGCGTTATAACGCGTCCTATCTGTCTCGAATCTTAGTCCGAAGAAGCGAACGTTCTTCAGAGACTGTATCCCCACTCGAATTCGGTAAGTTGCAGGCTAACGTGACTTAGCCGCCAGATGTACATGCGAGCAGAGACTGGCGACGTAAAGCGGCTTACCTAGCTCTACGGCAATGAGACGCGAACGAAAAAGACTGACCGGCACATGAGTTACAAAACAGAAAAATTTACTTAATATCGGTGGGGCTTTGTGACGTACGTGTCGCAGTGTTCTGACGAGGGTCCCCATGGTTCACTACACCTTGCACGGTGGATGCATCAGTGTGCTGAGTAGCGCACAATTGCTTCACTGTGGATAGGAATCAAAATCCTGAGGAAGAATCCCTCGTTAGTTGCGCAGTCTAAGTCGCCGAATGGTGATTTTATGTGATGTGAGGTCGATGAAATCTGCGCAAGTTTAGCGGGACTACGCTAGCTCCGCAACAGAAAGTCTGCCCGGCAGAGCTTTCATACCTTCGTAAAAAGCCACCTTTGCGCACGTAATTCTCTTCACTGACCGGTAGTTACCAGGGGAGATTAGTGCGCAGGGAAAAATAATCAGAAAATCTTAAAATTGACTTTTTTGATTTGTGTAATCACAAGCCACTTTTCACAAGGCTGGCCTCCTATGGTCCCACTAAAAAGTTTTCATCCCAGGGCCCCCTGAAATTTTCGATGGCTCCTAGGAGGCCACATCGCCCTCGTTGAGAATGGCTGGTGCAAACAACGCCCAAAATTGGACTCCAAGACAAGCTTCTTCTCTGTGTTGGGACACTTCACATTGAGATACCGCGGGATTTTCAGTTGGAATTCTAGACAGTTGACACTTTGACCACCAGGCGATTTAGCTCAGCGAGCAACGCAGTCATAGAAAATAATCATGAGAATTCGCTCACCAAGATGATACAATCAGAGATCGAGTGAATCTCACCTTGCTACCCCTCCGTAATCCAGTCCTTCCTCGTGAAGAAATGTAATTGACAGACGTCTTCGCAGACTCGTTGGAGTCATTTGTGAGATCTTTGATGAGAAACAAAAATAGACTGTAAAACATAGCTTCCGGTGGGGTAGAAAAACGCTGAATTAAAAAGTTGGATACTGAGTAAAACTTTCAAGAAAAATATAAACATCTTAAATCGACTCTGGCTTTGTCCCTTCTTTTCTTATTAACACCTTATTGAAGTGTATTGCGGCACAACAGCTGAAGCGTATCGCGCCCCAAACTGATGTGCAGAATGAATGGATGAATGAAATCAAGCTTAATCGTAAAAAGAATGTGCTGATGGTGTGTCAGAATGTTGCGCTGATGCAACACCGCAATGAAACCGCAGGTTTGTGAACCACGCAATAACAACCTACAGTTTCCAGTGACACAAGGGTACCAGATACAGTTAATTGAATAACGGTCCAGCCACTTCCGAAATCAGAAGATTTTGAAGAAATCCTTAAAACTGGGTCCCAGAAAATGTGGCGTAGTTTGCTCGCATTATAGGGTTCAATGGAAATGACCTAGAGAAAGGCTGGTCGATAGCCGAAGGGAGAAGTCGTCTAACTCTTAATCCAAAGGTCACCGGTTCGAATCTACATAGGTGCGAGTGGCCGTGCAATATGCCCAGCTCACAAACGACTAACGATGATCGCGTGGCAGCGAAGCGTCGGCACGGAGTGCCGGCGCACTGCTGATGTCTTTTTCTATGGTACGAGAAACTGCCAGAGGCCGGTAGAATGGCTAAAAGTCATTTGCCAATACTTAACAAATGAACTTCGTGTTGCGCATAAACTGACTTACGACCTCTGTATGGGATCTGGCTGGCCAGAGACATCAGTATACGATCAACTCATCGTGGTGGCTGCAAGTTAGTTCCCAAACAACCTTTAAGCTATGTGTTGGCTTCGACTTCATGGGTAAGAAACATTCAACACATCGTTGTTCAACGCGCTATGCCATCAAATGTGGAGTATAGAACCACAGCATGGAGGAAAGCACCTGGATAAGAAGAGTAGCCGCAGAATAGTGAAAAGGGGTTCACACAAAAAAACCAAGGCTCACCAACTGAAATGAGTCCTCCAAAAGATTATCCCGAGAAACAAGAATTTTCGTTTGACCAACGACCATTGCATGAGCACAACAGGCCCGAAAATATTCCAGTTTGGCACGGAAATTACGCTCATATTGTAGGGGGACGCCCATGGTGCCCAGAGACCTGAGTAAATAGTACAAATAGGCAAACCGTGATACAAACGAAACCGTTAGATTGAATTATCATGGGTGAAAGTACAGGAATGAGGTTAATGAAAGCAAAAGGAATTAATCCAATCAACGGCATGTATTCATGATGGAATAATCAGATATTGATGAATGTTGAATTGAGCCACCACTGAACGTGAAATAGTAAAAGTAAGAAATATCAACGAGAAAGCGTGTTGTTCGACCACAACAGTGCAAAAGATAATCGGTCTCACGAGTACTTGCCTGCATTAGGTACAGAGAGCAAAACTGCGGCTAGTACGCGGGGCATTGGGACTTCAGCCCAGGCCACTATGCATAAGCCACTGAGGCACTGCGGCCCATGTTCACGACGGTTAATAACTCAAGGGAGGACATTTTGGAAAAAAAACGTTGTTCTAATGAAACGTGACGAGCTATCGCCATTTGAACCACGATTTAATTGAACTCAACCTTGTTCAATTCGGCCACTGCTTTGTCAAAGCTTTCTGACTGATTTTGGTTTCAAAATGTAAGGTTATCCCTTAAAATGGGAAAAGAACAGTCCGTAGGCTGACACTTGGTGGGGATAACTAATAAGTCGTTAAGAATATCAACAACCTGGGCAGCGGTATAATTGTCTGTGGAATAGAAATGAAGTTACGAACCGTATAGCAATAGGCTTGAGACTTTTGCTAACCTTCGCCAACTGCGGTGCCGGCGCGAATTCACCCCGCCTTGAAGAGTAGAGTTTCAAAGCAGCCGTCTAATAAATGCTCCCGCACTGTTGCGAAACTTTTCGCAACGGATTGATAGATGTAAAAAGGACTGTCGCGTTTGACCACACCCGTCTAGCAAATTTGCACCCGCTTGGTTGAAACACCGCATAGACAATGGGCGTGGTATCCACCCATAAAAAGCAGGTGAAGCGCTCAGCACCGTTATTTCATGCACCACGCTCCGAAACCTGAGCCAAGTCTTATGTATGTCAGCCCACCGACTCCAGCAACATGTTAGCAAGATCGTGGTCTGAACGAAAAGTAAGGAGAGATGAAATGACTTAGTTGAGAGGAATGAATGCTCTCACTGCGAACTCGATATCGATTAGTGCCGTACGACTAGACCGTTGGGGCCCGGAAAACGCTGAACACGTGTGGTAAGATGCACAGCCTTCGTATTGCAAATTCCCTCCCGTCCCTCCCACCTCGCTTAGCCTCCTGTCCAACTTAAAGCTTACAACTGGTGCATAACAGAAAACATAGCATAATATTAATCGTCCACTTCCAATTTTTTGTCGAATTCTTCCTTTTAAATCTAGGTAGTTGAATTGTATCGCTGTACAACAGTAAGAGAAATAGCTTATTACGAACAGAAAATTTGACTAAACATGAGTAAGCTTCAATCCAACGACGTGGATAAGTGACGCTAATCGTTTCACATATGAAGACGGTCAGTTTAAAGCTTCGGTTAGGGAGATAAACGTAAGGTATGCGTTGTGTTAAGCCGCGGAACCTATATATATATATATATATATATATAGCAACGAAAAAAATGGGCATGACAAATGGCATTGCGCATAGTTGGTAGTAACGAAAACAGATAAAAGTAAGTAAGCAAACAGTGCCGTTACAACGCAAGGGACACGGAGAATCCGAGGGTAGTAGAGATGGATCGTGTTTAGATCGCTTAAACAACAAAAGGCCGAGCCGCACAATGAGAAAAACCTAATCATCAGGGCGGATCGCCATCAGAATAAAGATAAGCCACAACTTAAACGGTAGCAGCATACATCAGCACCATAAAGGTTAGCTAGAGGTGGAAAACATCTCAGCTATTGTGCCGTAATAAAAAAAACAAGAGATGTAACAAACACACGCCGGCTAAGTCACTGACAACGGATGGACATCGTCCCGGAGTGCTAACAGTCGGGTAGTGTGCAACGAAAGAAGAGTTTCATTTTGCCTAGTAAATGAGATCGTGGCTGGAGAACGAGGTTAAGCGAGAGGGGGAGAGATAAATAAACTCACAGCAGGAACGCCACTGAGGTCGGCTCTCAGCCATATCAACAAATGTATCCAGCCAAGCGTGTGCATCGTCCAACCAGGATGAGGGGCTCTAACTGAAGCCAACTTCGAACTAAGAGGCTTCATCGCTCTTGACCAAATCATCGTTTAAGCACCTTCTCCTTTTCCAGCCACACCCCCGGCGCGCAAACAACGCACGTCGCCGGAGTAGGTGGGTTAACAAGAGCAACACGTGGCCTAGCCATCGGAGACTGGTGCGTGATATAACGGTGCTGAGCAGTTCATTTCTGCTTCCTGTGCCACAAACGAGACATCGAACACGCTCACTACTCACATGGTGTTCCCAACATATTTGAGCCAAACTGCGAAAGCACCGGTTGTCGAAGGTAACTAGCCTCTTAACGCCTGCCAATGTAATGGGCCAAGTTTCACAACCGTACAGCAGGGTTGAACGTACGGTTGCAGTGGACACTCTAGCCTTCAGGGAGTTGATGATGTCGCGCCAGCGCCAAAAATGGCGAAGGTTAGCAAAAGCGCCCCGAGCTTTTGCCTCGTCTTTAATGACAAAGGGGCTGTTACAACCGTCAAGGTATTTGAATCTTTGAACGACTTCTAGCTGATCGCCACCAACGGTCAGAGCAGGAGGCAATCAATGGCAATCTTGGAGGAAAAGTTCGCACTTCGAGGGAGTAAAGCATATCCCGTAACGGCTGACAGCCAGTGTTAATCTGTCTAGTGATATTTGGCACGTTTGTGAACTGTCACAGATAACGGCAATGTCGTCAGTATACTCCAAGTCAATAAGTCATTCACCTGGGTGCATCTCCACATCTTCTAAGTCGTGTCCTGTGAACGCAAGCTCCATGGCTTCGTCAACAGCGAAGTTGAACAGGGAAACGTGGCAGTGGACATCCTTGTCTTAGACCGCTGGAGATGTTGAAAGGGAACGACAGCTTGCCCTAAGCTTTCACACTGCCCGAGCTACGCACGTAAAGCGGTCGGATAATATTTACATATTTCTCGGGTACACCTTACCTGACTAGACAGTCCCAAATGGCACATCGATCCCCCGAATCGAAGGCACCTATGATGTCGAGGAACACAACAACGGTGGGCCGCCAATATATGTGACGGTGCTCCAACAACCGACGCAAGGTGTGCTAGGAGGGTACGATTTCTCGAGCGCAAATCTGCGGAGCATGTGAATCGAGTTCACACAACTAGCTATCACAAAAACCAAGAGCTGGGCCTAAGGTCAACCCGGCTAATGCCTAACACACCGGAAGGATATCGATCAACAGATAAGTGTTGGTTTGAAAGCAGGATCCATGATCGAACGCGCATTCGGCTAGTGCAAGCTGTACATTGTGAATTCTTCACCCGGGTTTGGTTCACGTTCTGCTCTCAGAATAAACAGTTTTTCGTGTACTCGCACTGCTCTTTCTCCGTTGCTGGAAATTGGCTTACTCTCTACTCTAGCAAGGTCCGACACAACAAGGTGAATATGTGATCGCTGCAGCCCCGTAGCCTAGAGGTAACGAGCTTGTCTGGTGATATTGCGGCGCAGGTTCGAAACCGCGCAGGGGCGGGCGTCCTCGCGGTATACTCAGCCCACGTGCGGCTGGTGGTAGTCGAACGGCAGCGAAGCGCCGTTACGGCGTACAGCCGACACAGTATTATGGCTGGCTTGCCGAACAACCTGCTCGTGGTGCCAGCTGGGTGGTTCGTGAGTTTTCCCCTTCCAGCGAATGGTTCGGTGGCAGTGTTCCAGGACGTGGTGGGTTTTCCCCTGGCAAGCATTCTCTCTATAAAAGGCACATATGTCGGATTAACAACATTGCGAGGTGGTGGATGTGACTCGCGAAGAATAAAGTCATTGTCCCTTGCTTCACTCCAGTGGAGTATTGTATTCCAGCTGCCAGATGGTGTCATCGTGGGGAGGATTGGGCCCCTGTTTGGTACTTGACCAAACGAAAGGCGTATGAACTGAGTAATCGGTCACCTGCTCCGATTGGGCGCGATACCCTGAATTCGCTCCGCTGCCTTGCGGGTAGGCTATTGAGCCAAAGGCTCAGGATGGCGGGCCCCTAAGACAACCCCCTACTTCGGTCTAGGCAACGGGGTAGTATCTCGCCTACTGATGAACCATGGAACTGAACTGCACTCTTCGCTCTACTGATGCTTTGCCCTCATGCTACTACTGCAAACACTCTTCCATCACACGCCCCTCGCTTATCTACTCTTCTCCTGTATCACTCTTTCCCGTTTTTGTCTGATCAATCAAGGATGAGCAGCATTGCTTCCTCCGATAGCACTGTTGTTGCTCCATCCTCTGACGTAATCACACAGCGCCAAACCGGGACTGAACAGTCCCAGATTCTCACCTCCCCGCTTCGGCAACTGAAGACATAGTTCGACTTAGCGGCGTTCAATGTGGGCAACAAGCCGGTCTCGCGCGCACTCTAGAAACTATTGCAATTGATGTCTGTCTGAAATACGATTTCAAGATTCCAGCACAGTCTACCCATTGTTGTCGCAAATTCATCCTTATACCTATTTCCACCTTCGACTTTCTGGAGAGGCCGAGCCTACCGCTTCTGGGCAAGCTGGTGTTGGGGTCGTTCTCAGTGCCAGAGCCGAAGCCGAGCTTCTCGAATAGATTCCGAGCAACAGTCGTCTTTGTGCTGTCACGCTCCATGGTTCGTGCAAGGTTAACAGGCGTCGAAAAAATAAAGGTGGTCTTTTTGTAATCTCCGCCAATGCTCCTAATGACTAGCCCAGATACCGTCAAGGACCAATTTTATCAGAACTTTAATGATTTGCTTTTAAGGGACCCCAAAACGGACATCATTATTATGGCGGGGGATTTCAACTCGCGTGTTGGTCGTTTGTTACCAAGCGAACGCCATCATGGATACGACAACTTTCGCACAGACAATGGTGAAAGACTACTCTGTTTGGGTGCCGTCCACCA